TGGAGTCCATGTCTGGGATTTAGTGTTTTCTAGGGTTCCTTTCTGTGGTGTGCCCAAGGCATCAGAAGGCAGGGAGGGAGGTGTGAGATGGCAGAGGCCACAGACAATTGAGGAAGAGTGTAGCAACTGCTAGGGCAGAAGTTGGCAGCTGTTAAGAAGTAAGCGACCAGAGTTCTGATTCTTTCCTTCTGGAATTTGCCCTACGGGTGGTGGGGTGTGAAGTGCAGCTGTCTGCCTGCAGGTGTGGGTGTTCCTGGCCATGTCTCCCTCTGCTTGTTTGCAGTTCACAGTGGTTCTCACAGCTGCAAATTGTGCATGGCACCCACATCCTGAAATATGCTATGGGAAATTACAGTGTCCCCTCAGCCATTCTTTTGACATATGCCCAGGAAGTATTTATGAGATCCAGGGCTCCAGAGGAGAGGGGAACTCAGAAGGGTAGCGGGTCTCCAGTTCTGCCTGGTTGTGCCTAGTCACAACCAGCTTCTGGTTTATTGAAGAGAGTGAAAGACCTGCTGCCCTGAAGCCAGGAGTTTCAGAATTCTCAATTGGGTAAAAGGAGTGGGATGGACTGCATCCTTTCTGAGGCTGTTTTCCAGCTCTGGCTTTCTGTGGTTTCTATCTACCCAAGAGCCAGGAGTGGAGGGAATCATAGTTTTACCCCTTATTGTGGAAACTCATTGAGATAATCAAAATATATTGAAAGCATAAATGTTGGGGCACAATCACTGGTGAGTGTGGTAAGTTGGGCAAGTTTTTGTAGAGGGTCAGTTTTACATTGCACCTGAAAGGACTGGGTATGGGGTGGTGAACCTCTATTCTGATCTGCTGTGTCTGCTGCACTGTAATCCTGTTTCCTGTCATTTAAGACGAAGTGCTTAGGTCAGTGTCAGCAGTAACATGTACCCCTTTACTGTTGTCAGCACTCTGCAGCTTACAGAGCCCTTCCATATAGGTGACATCCAAGCTTCCTGACACTGGAGCTGCTCTTAGACTCCTTTGACAGTTCACCTGGATAAGGAACAGAGTCCTGGGCCAGGACATCAGCACCAGACACGGCTTCCTAGCCATTTGCTCTTGGGCAAATTGCTTATCCTACTGGTCCTCAGCTTCCTTAGAAGAGCATCCTGAGCACTAAATAACATAAGAGGTATAAATGGCAATAATGTGGGTCCTAAACAAATGCTGTCTTGAAGAAGCTGTTAGTCACCTGGTTTTTGGGTTGCGGAGCCTAAACTTGAACCTGGATTGCCCACCAAGAGATTGACACCTAAGTCTAATATATTTTCAGCAATGTGCTGAGTCATCTTCACTGAATGCTATAACATATTCAAGGTGGAATCTCTATAACCCAGTGATGGACTTGAGCGTAAAAATGGTAACACATTTCATTCATCTTCTTTGTCTGTTATTGAAGACTCTTAGATCGTGCTGTACAGGTAGCTTTGTCTTTAGTTCTTCCGAATCCATTCATGGCTTCACACATATGCCTTGAGCTTTTACAAGTTGTCAAGTACCATGGTCTCTCTATTCGTGATTTTCAACATCTTTGGTAGTTACAGATCCTTGATAGAAAACTGTGGCCCCCCCCAAACCTTTTACTAACTTGTTTTTTTTTGTTGTTGAACCATATAGAAGTTATAGGCATGCGGCCCTAAGTACTGCAGCATGCATTGCCTAAACATGCACATTCTCACAGTCTCAATAAATACCATTTTAATTATTTATGTATTGGGTTTTCTTAAATTTATTTTTTTAAACATAGCATGAGGAAAGTGTTAAAACTGGTATAATAGCTCAATTGAATAAGTATTCCAGATTTTGGGGAAGGATGAAGAGGGACATATTCAGACCCTTCACTAGAATCTCCCCAACTTGATCATAGCAGGTTAATGATGTGCTTTGTGGATGTGGTTAGTCAATGACACCACCCTGACGGATCTTTCTTCCTTCACCAAGTCCCATTGAGTTATCTGGTCCCATTGGCTGATGAAGAACCATTGGGCGAGGAGCAATGATATCATCAGGGTGATGTTCTTCAAGTGATTGACCAGCCTATCAGCTTGTGGAGTTGCCATTTTAAATATAAACAATAACTTTATAATATGATGTAATACCTAGACCTTTTTCAAATTTCCTTAATTGTTCAAAAACTACTTTTATAGCTTTTTTTTTTAAAAGAGCCAATCAAAGTCTTTGCATTTGGCTATTACATTTCTTCAGTCTTTCTAAATCAATAAAAGTCCTTTGTTATTTTTTATGACATTGACTTTTTTTTTAGATTTTATTTATTTATTTTTCGAGAGGAAAGGGAGGGAGAAAGAGAGAGAGAGAAACATTAATGTGCGGTTGCTGGGGGCCGTGGCTTGCAATCCAGGCATGTGCCCTGACTGGGAATCAAACCTGCGACACTTTGGTTCGCAGCCTGCACTAAATCCACTGAGCTACGCCAGCCAGGCAACATTGACTTTTTAAAAGACCAGGCCAGTTATCTTGTGGGATGTCCTGTCTTCTGCATTTATCTGATTGTTTCCTCATGGTGTGGTTTAGCTCATTCCTCTTTTCCTCATATTTTCTATAAACTGGAAATTAGGTTTAAAGGCTTGATTTGATTCATTTAAGTCAAACATTTGTGGCAGGACTACTTCAAAGGTGATGTGTAATTCATATGGTTCCATGTCGGGAAGCATATGCAAGGTCGTCCCTCTGTCAGCAATGCTGGGTTTGATTGCTGGTTAAGGCGATCATAGATCTCTCCCTTATCAAGATACATTAGAAAGTAACCCAAGGGGAGGAATTTGGTTCCATGGGACTATCCTCAACACCTTTCACCACAGGTTTTAGTATTCATTGAAGATGCTTCTCTTATAATGAAATTGCAAAATGGTGTTTTACTAATCTATTGTCCCCCCTGCACTTATTTGCCAGTGTTCTTCTGTAATCTCTACACAATTTTATTTTTCGATTACATGTGCAATCATACGGTTTCAGGTGTTTAAAGATGCATCAGAGCTCAGCATGGCTCTTGGGTTTAGAATTCCTGCTCTAAAAGAAGAAAGCACCTGACTGATATGTCAGGTTTGTGTGGACGGGAGCTGTAGATGAGCTCTTCATAGTCCTTTTGTCCCTCTGGGTAGTTGCAGGAGAATGAAATTTCCCAGCCCTCAATGATAGCTCAAGCCATCCCCAACAACAGAGGAAACAACTTAAGCTTTTAACCTTCTAAGCCCTCAACAAAGTTACTTGGTGATGGACTCCAAAGCCTGAGGAGTCCCTTCTTTCCAGCCCTTTCCATCTGTTACAGCTCATTCCCTCAACAGGCAAACCAGGGAGCTGGACCAGGCAATTCCTCAGATTTTTACTAGCCTTAGTATTCTTCTAAATATTTTATTACCTCATTTGCCAGTTAAATTACTCAGTCTCCGACCCATTCACTTGAACTTTGTTTTCTACGCTCATTACATCTTAAAAGTCACACTTCTCTAACTCCATCAGAACATCCAGTGGAGTTTATTACTGGCAGTATGATTGTCTCTTACGTTGGTGTAGTACTTTTACTTTATAATGCATTTTTAAATATATTACTTTATTAGATCCTCAAGAATAGACAATATTTCTGCGTTGTTTTTGCTTTGGGTCTTAAAGCCTGGGGTCATTTTTAGCTTATTCTTGTCACTATAGTGAAAGACCATGAAGGCCACTGAGCTCTGTTGCAATGGACGTTCACTGGACACTATCCTTAATAGCATTGACTTCCTGTGGCTCCAGGTGCTCCATTCTAGTCTTAAAGTAGCCCATGTGCCCTGCTGTGTTGCCCATTTCCTTGGCAACTACTCCAGTTGCCTTCAGGGTTCACAGCAGAGCAAATTCTCCATCCTGACCTTTGAGGAGTGTGTGTGTCACTATGGCTGGCTCTCCTTGCTTCTTTCTTGTTGCCACTGTACATCTCTACTCTGCATCTGGTGCTTTGAACACTCCTGGATTTGCAAACCACGTGTTCTGGGTTCTTTCCTAGATTTCTTTCTGTGTACTGTGCTTATGCATAGTACTTTCAACATAATTCTTTCACTCAACCCACTTAGAGAACCTTGAAGGTAAGTATCACTTCCCCATTTTGTGGAAGGATAAACTAAGGCTCAGAGTATTTAAAAGAGTTCTATTGTCACAAAGAATCAGGGCTAAGAGGCAGCTGATGAGTCAGGAAGTGGGCCAGGGTAGCAAAGGTAGATGCATTCAAGTTCTCTTTGCTCATCTTCTGTGCTCCCTCTGGGGGCCAAGCCCTCATGAGCACATTGTAGTCACAGCCAGCTGAGTGTTCCTGCACATTGGTTTCTTTGTAAGCCCAGCTGGAACAGTTCACCATTGTTGACAGCAGAGTGGCCAGGCCAGCTACATGGCCAGCTTGTGCTCTGCCAGCAGGCTGCCCTGGAGCCAGGAGCTATCCTGGGGACTTGAACCAAACCCAAAGCACAGCACAGCCCAAGGAAACATTTATGAAGCGAAATACCAGAACTCATACTGTGGGTGCTTCTTGAGTTTTGGTAAAGAACCTCAATACTCTTAGTCTTTGAAACCTGGAGGATTAAACAGAAGGAGTTTCCTTACTGGGGACGTGAATAGCTGTGCAGCCTGTGCCCTGCATAGCTGAGAGCTTTGCTCCATGGTGGACATTGTAGATGTGTGTATTTATTATCAGCATCGGTACATCAGTTGATGGAAGGAAAAGGCCTTGAGGCAGGACTGCTTTCCCAACCCCATAGCCTGGGCTCAAGACAGCTCTCCCTGCCACTCTACCAAGCCACACACTCTGGGCCCCAATTTCTCATCTATAAAATGAGGGGTTTGGACTATGTGGTTAGTAAGGTACTTGTACTCTGCTAATATGTGGGCCTTGTAAGAGCAGGTCAGTGTTTGCTGATTGCTGGGACAGGGCACCCTGTGTGAGTTTGCCACCTCTGCCCTCTTCTGTGCTTGTTCTTGACTCCACGTCTGGTCTCTAGAAAAGAGAAGCGACCACCAGTGAAGAGACCCATCTGAGCTAAGGACACCATGGCCACATCAGCACCACTGCGGAGTCTGGAGGAAGAGGTGACCTGCTCCATCTGCCTTGATTACCTGCGGGACCCTGTGACCATCGACTGTGGCCATGTCTTCTGCCGCAGCTGCACCACTGACATCTGCCCTATCTCGGGGGGGCGGCCTGTCTGCCCCCTCTGCAAGAAGCCTTTTAAGAAGGAAAACATCCGCCCTGTGTGGCAGCTGGCCAGCCTGGTGGAGAACATCGAGCGGCTGAAGGTGGACAAAGGCAAGCAGCCAGGGAATGCAACCCAGGAGCAGCAGGATGTGAAGCTGTGTGAGCGGCACTGGGAGAAGCTGCACTATTTCTGTGAGGATGATGAGCAGCTGCTGTGTGTGCTATGCAGGGAGTCCCGGGAGCATCGGCCTCACAGAGCTATCCTGCTGGAGAAGGCTGCCCAGCCCCACAGGGTAAGTAAGCCCTCTTCAACCCTGGGAGGCTGTGCTTTGCACCCACCTGGAAGCCAGGCCAGACCTGGCCAAGACCCTGCTGAAGGCTTCTAGCCGTTCAAGGACTCATCCTGAGTCCACTCTGTTGCCCCAGCTCAAAGCGTGCACCTGTCCCCACTGCTTGTCTTTCTATAGGAACAAATCCTGAACCACCTGAGCACTCTAAGGAGAGACAGAGACAGAATTCGGGGCTGTCAGGAGAAGGGAGAAGCTGACTTCCTAGCTGTGCTGGTAAGTGAGGCTGTTAAGGGGGATCCTGGAGATAATGGACTGGTGCAGCAGGACGTTTTGGGCTTGCAGAGATGCAGTGGGAGGCCTGTGTATGGCTCAGCCCTGTCAGCCTGAGCTGTATGGCTTTGGCCTGTGTCCTGGTCTGACAAATGAGTGGGTTGCCTAGGTGTCAGCTAAGGTCCCTTCCTCTCTGTAACTCACCTCAGCCGCAGGGCCAACTCTGTGAGGGAGAGTCAGGGTGAGGGGACCTAAGAATACCTGGCTCCATTCTTACTTTCAAAGAGGAGAAAGACATGATTCCTATGAGAGTGGGTAGCCAGAGGACTTAGAAGGAGGGCATTGATTCCAGGATAAGAGCTGAGGGGGTGACTGAGGATGCTATCTGGGCCCTGTACTCATGGCTGCCCATCTTTGGGAACAGACAACACCTTGTGTGCTTCCATAGAAATGGTATCAGGATGGAAAACTGAAAAGCAGATTTCAGTTTTCTTTGGGGAGTGAACATTGCAGGGATGTTGGGACCAGGCCTGGTCTTGAACAATTGGGCCCTGGGAGAGGGAGAAAGTGAAGCAGGAGAGAGCTCAAGTTCAAGGAGTACCTCTAGTCCCTCAGTGTGTGTGGATGCAGCCTAACTTCAGTCAACCCGGACACCAGGGCCACTGACCAGATTCCAGCCTGGACTTGGCAGTGAAATTAAAGAGGCAGGAAAGGTCATGGTCCCTGAGCACAAGCCTTGCACAGTCTCAGTAAGGGAGCAAGATATAGCCCTATGTGGCAGGGATGGGACACACAGATATTTTGTGTGTAGTGGGGCACTGAAAAGATGAAAGTAAGCTTCCTACAAGAGGTGACATAAAGAGATTGGTGTTCAGGAGGGAAAAATGTGTTAGCTCACAGTTCTTCAAAGAGCCCCAGAACATAGTGGTTTACCTAGAACAGATAATGTGCTGACCAGTCAGTGGAGTTAAGGTCACAGTCTTGCAGTGGCTGGTTGCACTGAATTGACTCATGGACTGTGTCTTCTTCAAGGAGGGCAGGTTGGCCCAGGAATGCTTGAAAGCACCCCTGCCTCCCAGCCTGAACACTATAGAATATGTGAGTGGGGGTAACTATAGGAGTAGAGCCAGTCTTATGCACCACTAATACCAGGTCCTGGAGGGATTTCCTACCACAAGGCAGAGGCATCAGCTGTTTCCCACTTCCCACCTGCAGAAGCAGCTCCAGGAGCAGAGGCAGCACGTCATGGCTGAGTTTGAGCAGGGCCACCAGTTCCTGAAGGAGCGGGAGCAGCATCTGCTAGGCCAACTGGCGAGGCTGGAACAGGAACTCACAGAGGGCCGGGAGAAGCATAACAGCAGGGGTGTCTCGGAGCTTGCCCGGCTGGCAGGGCTCATCTCTGAGCTGGAGGGCAAGGTGCAGCAGCCAGCAGCAGAGCTCATGAAGGTGAGAGACCTTCCTAGGCAAGGAGCCCCTCCCTGCCACTCACCTGCAGGACCTGGAGAGAGTCACTTTCCTTGGGGGCCTCCGTTTCTCATCTGAAACATGGGGCTGATAATTCTGCTCCTCCCACTGATATTCTGTTGGTTTCTTGAGCATAAAATGAGATGACTGGTATGGTGTCACTTTCAAAAGGGAAATTTTCTATAAAAGTTCAAAAATATTAAAATGGAAGGGAAGGTTATTATGATCTTCCTTACTATCTTCTATCTTTATCACTATCATTATGAGCCTGTCGTCTAACAAGTCACTGGCAGAGACTTGTCCAATGGAAGCTCTTGATGGCTCTGGAGATGCAGCTGTAGAGGTTGGGGGTGGCTAAGGGAGGGCTGATTGGCAGCTTCTCTTGGGAACCCATAGGGTCAGTCAGAATGGCGAGGTTGTCTCTGGGACTGTGGAATTACCCTCAGGGAAAGTGGGAAGCAGGTGAGTTGTCTCTGGAATGCTTCCTGATGGAGACAACTTTGATGCTGAGAATGGGAAAGTCTTGGACTGGAGAACAGGTCTCCAAATTGAAATGACCCCACAAGTCCATCCTCCTGGAGCCTCTGGAAGAGTCTCACCATACTGAACAGGGCTCAGCAGCCTGCAGAGGTGGCTGTTCAGTTCCTGCTCTCCTCCACTTATATGGTTGGGGTGCCTGGGCCTGTCAGTAGCATAAATGCTACCTCATCCAGTGACACAGCAAGTCAGTAGCTGGCAGAGAGTTGGCAGAGCACATTCTTTAAGGTTCTGTGCCAGCCTAGACCTCACAGGCGACTTCCTCCTGCCTCTCCATCATTGTGTATTCAGACTTAGGAGTAGCAGGGATTTTAAAATGCTTGCAGTGCAGTCCCACACTGATGAAGTCACTGAGGGGCAGAGAGTGGAAGGGATCTGTCCTAGGCCGTGGCGCAGGTCAGGAGTCAGTCAAAGTTCCAACCCTGTGTCCTCACTCCCAGGCCTCTGTACTCTCACTCTTCTTTTTTCTCATTTTATCTAGCGTGTTTTTCTGGTTCTGTCTTTCCTGCAGATGTATTCTGTCCCTTCAAATCTCTCTCAGACTCTGACTGGGTCACTTGCTGCCCCTCCCCTTCCCCACCTCCTCTTCTCCTCCCTGTTCAGGGACAGGCATCCTTACTTTCCTCTGGCCACCGCTGGCAGATGTGCACTTGTGTGCGGAGCAGAGGGATGTGACGGGGTGCTGGTGGGCTGGCGTACAGTTGTGTGTGCCCTGAGGGGACCCTCTCGCCACCACTCCACCCAAAGGAGCTGCGTGGGCCAGTGGAGGCCCAGCCTTCAGTGCCTGCAAGACTACTCAGATTGAAGACTTCCCTGGGGTAGGTGTCAGAGAAGAGAGAGAGTTGGGTGTCTGCTTAAAACTAATACGTGAAATGTTGTACTGGTGGGTTTTATCTGTTTGTTTTGATTTTGCTGCAAGGGAACTGGACAGCTAACTCCTTAATTGTCATTAATATTTAATTTTTCCCAGAGATTATTTGAATGTCGATGGACAATAAGAATGAGATCCTATTGAGATAGGGGCTCTGATCCAAAAGTCTAGTAGAGAAATATGGGTGAGTGGGAAGTAGCTGGACAAAAATACGTAAAATAGACTTTTTGACAAAGGGGATGGAAAAGGAAAGGAAGATCTCTGGACTGGGAGTTTTGTGAAGATGCTAAAGGGGATAGGCAGATAGGAGTGGCCAAAGAGACACTGACGTCCTCTCCAGTTCAGCTCTAGACAGACCTTGCAGGGTTGGGTGGCTGCTCACACCTCTGCCTTTCCCACTGTCGGTTGCCTCCTTACCTGTGAAGAGCCCCTAAGTGCTGTTTGTTAGTGCCCAGGTGTTTGCCGACCCAAGAGTGCCATGTTTGTTCCCTATTACATGACAGCCCCAGAAGCCTGGATAGAGGCTGGTGTGTGGCTGCAGGTTGCCTTGGATTCCCAAGGCTCCCCGGTCTGTGTCCTTTGGAAGAAGGGTTCCTGCACTGGTCTCTGGGTCCCACTCTCCCTGGGTCACTCAACCCCTTTTTCCCTTAGCTCTCACTGCCTATTTATTTGCTCTTTTATACCATGTATCTCTGCAGGCTGGTCGGCACACACTGTCTTACATTTGTCCCCCAGTTCTCAAGCTGGCTTGGACTTAACTTGTTTTGAGGAACAGATCAGAAGAATTTGCCAGAAACTCAAATACCTCTGGGCAGTTTCTTCCTAGTAGGGGCAGGATGTAGTTCTGCAGCAAAGCCCGTCTCTTCCTGAGACTTTTTTCTGAAATAGTGATCAGCAGCCACAACTTGGTGATTCCATTTGATTCCCCAATCTCACCCCTACCCTGTTCCCCTTAACTCTCCTCTTTCTTCTTCCTGTAACCCTCAGGTATTTCTGTAATATAATATATTTGTTTTGTTGACTGTTGCCTGATCGCTTCCCCTACTACAAGGTCAGCTCTAACAAGGGTAGAAGATTGTATTGGGTTGGCCAAAAAGTCTGTTAACTTTTCTTTTTGGAAAATAAAAGGTACATTTTTCATTATAATCAATAACTTTATTTATTTGGATATTTTGAGCATGTTGGCTATCTCCCATGTGGTATAATGTGGATTGTTCTCAGTTAATGTCTTAGCTTGATCACTATCAACTTCAACTGGTCTACCCAACTGTGGAGCATCATCCAATAAGAAATTTCTAGCATGAAACATTGCAAACCACTTTTGACATATTCAATCAGTCATAGCACCTTCTCCAAACATGGCACAAATCTTTTTTGTTTTAAAGATTTTCATTTATTTTTGGAGAGGGGAAGGGAGGGAGAAATAGGGAGAGAAACATCAATGCGTGGTTGCCTCGTGCATGACCCCCCCACTGGGGACCTGGCCCGCAACTCAGGCATGTGCCCTGACTGGGAATCGAACTGGCAACCCCTTAGTTCACAGGCCAACACTCAATCCATTGAGCCACACCAGCCAGACTGCACAAATCGTTTTTATTTGCATTTTAGTTGTGTCTTTGTTTTTCTTGAAATAATAAGGCATGATACGGAGAAAATGTTGTGTATTTTCTTTCATCTTCAATATTAAAATGGCTACACAAAACTTCACCAATTGTGATTTTTTAATGCACACTCTTATGATAGCTGTCACAGTACAATCTAACAAAATTGCTTCAAATGACGTTAAAGACATCTAAGCACTACTAGAGCCATCTTACAGAGAAAATGAACTTTTTAGCCAACCCAGTTATCTTTTTTTTCTTATCTGCTGTATTCCAGGCTTTTAGAGAATGCCTGGTATGTAGGAAGCAATTAATATTTGTGAATGAGTGAAAGGAAAGCAAAGCTTGATATAAAGTGTTATGGAGCCTTTACACTCACAAGAGGGAAATAACCAGCATCTCACAAGAACCCCCACTCCAGTCCACTGTGTCCCCATCACATGCATGGTAGCACTGGCTGTGTCCAGTCGGTATGTCTCAAGCATACCTGGTTCTCCATCTCTACTGCTGCTGCAGCTCCCAGGCCATTTTCATCTCTCACCTGGTCCACAGCAACAGCCTGCAGACTGGCCCCCATGTTCACATTGCCTCCCTCAACTGATGCTCTCAAGAACAGCCAAGTGATTGATCACTCAGGATTTGGGCCAGCTGTTCAAGTACAATGACCCAAATAAAACAGGATTATTTGTCTTTCAGTAACAGTTCAGAGTTGGGGAGTCTGGAGCTGTCAGGGCAGCTGTCTGTGAGGTCAGAAGAGAACCAGGGTACTTCTATCTGGTTTCACTAACTTCAGGGGATGTTGTCCTCAGCTGTGTAGTCAAAGTTGGGCTCACCACCACCATATCTAAAATTCAGCCAAGGAGCCCTGGCTGGTGTGGCTCCATGGACTGAGTGCTGGCCTGTGAATGAAAGGGTTGCTGGTTTGGTCCCTAGTCAGGGCATGTGCCTGGGTTGCAGGCCAGGTGCCCAGTGTGGGGGGCATGTGAGAGGCAACCACATTTTGATGTTTTCCTCTCTTTCTCCCTTCTCCTCTCTCTAGAAATAAATAAATAAATAAATAACCCACCTTAAAAAATTCAGCCAAGGAAAAAGATGAAGTAGGAAGCAATTTTCTTTTTTTTAAAGGACAATGCCCCCAAATTGTAGTCAATGCTTCCTTTTACAGCCCATTGATTGGAGCTTAGTTTCATGACCAGACCTGGTTACAAGTGAATCTGGGAAATGTAGTTTTTTCTTGAGTTCTATTATTAAAAGGAAGAAGGGGAGAATGGATGCTGGAAGTCACAGCCACACGAAAGCCTCCCTTTGGTGCTTTACTGCTACATATTGAATGAAGTTTAAAGTCCCTGCTATGCTTGTTCAGCACTGCATGACCTGGCCCTGCCTCCTTTGCCAAGCCCTTTTCCACCTTCTCATTCTTCACTTGGCCAGCACTTTTCTCCTTCAACTCTAAGCACAAATGTCATCACGGAGAGGTTGGCCCTATCATCTCTGCCCTGTCCTCCCCCACCCAGTTGCTCTGTCATATTTTTGTTGTTGTTGTTACTGTTTTATCCAAAGCTGTCACTAGAATATCAGCTGCATAAGGAAGGGACAGTTTCTCTGACTCTGATACAGTGTTGCTGCAGGTGAATGAAGTCTGATTCACATTGATTTTTGTGCTTTCTTCCCTTCCAGGACACCAGAGACTTCTTGAACAGGTAAAAGAGCTTCCTCTCTGGACTGTGACACACTCATTCTCCTGTGTCTGTGTCCTTTCCATTTTCCTTGACCGTGATACATTTTAATTAGTGGGGAGAGATGGTGCCAAAGGTGCACTCAGACCATGGTTCCTCCTGGGAAACAAGAACACAGTCTTGAACTGGAGATTCGCTGTCCACTGAAGCAAATTCTTTGTGGGGTTCTAACTCCTTGGCCTGCTCTCCTTGTCTGAGGTGGGACAGGTGGCGAGGGCAGAAAGGTGGCTCAGGAAACTAAAGTGTGCTGGAAGTTGAGTCTGCTGATGGTTGTAGTTCACTTAGTGTCTTTGGACCCATCTCTGTCTGATGGGGGGGCAACGTGCTTTTCCCTCTCCCCTTCGTATTTGTCATGAGGATTGAGAGAAATGCAAGAGGAGCTAAGGTTATGTCTTCCATCTTCTCAGATATCCACGGAAGAAGTTCTGGCTTGGGAAACCCATTGCTCGAGTGGTTAAAAAAAGGACAGGAGAATTCTCAGACAAACTCCTGTGTCTGCAGCGAGGCCTGAGAGAATTCCAGGGTAAGGGTTGGGGAAAGCCTTGGGGTGGGGGCCAGGAATGGGACTGGCACTCTGAGGAAGGGTCCTCGTCTCCTTACTGTCCCATTCTCCTACCTCAGTCCTCTGAGAGCCTCTGTTTATGTGAGAAATTAGCCTGTACATTTGCTGGGCTTGAGGGTCATTGCTTTCCTTTTTTTCTTCCCAGGGAAGCTGCTGAGAGACTTAGAATATAGAACAGGTGAGTATCTAAAAGGTTGTTTCTGGATTTACCTCAAATAAAGAATAGTCTTTCCACAGAGATTATGACTGTCCCCTGATGCCCCAGGGAGTCTCTTCTCTTATGCCACAAGGAGAATTTTCCAGCTGCTAACCTCAAAGTCCCCCTTGCATTTTCTGACCAACTCTTCAAGCTGCAGGAGAGGCCGCCACGTGGTAGTCTGGCCCTTCTCACCCTGTGTTTGGTTATTCTTGCCTCACAGGTCCTGCAACCAGTCCCTTCATGGTAACTTAGTTTCTTCTTATCTGCCTGATCACATGCCTCCTGAGGCCAGCCCCTCTTGGCCTTGTTATCAGGTTGTACCCTGCATGCTCTGAGGGGCCCTGTGGAAGTGGACTAAGATGTAAATGGCCCCCTGGGATTGTGTGGTGTGGCAGCCCTGCCATGGACCCTGTGGAGACTGGTGGCCCCTTCCAGCGCACTAGTGACAGTTACCTTTTTTGTTCCCACAGTGAGTGTGACCTTGGACCCAAAGTCGGCCAGTGGGTACCTGCAGCTGTCAGAGGACTGGAAGTGTGTGACCTACAACAATGGCCTGTACCAGAGTGCTTACCTGCACCCCCAGCAGTTTGACTGTGAGCCAGCAGTGCTGGGTAGTAAGGGCTTCACCTGGGGCAAGGTCTACTGGGAAGTGGAAGTGGAGAGGGAGAGGTGTTCAGAGGATGAAACAGACAGGGATGAGGAGGATGATTGGGAAGATGAGGAAGAGGAAGAGGAGCCTGTCTATGGGGATGGATATGATGATTCGGAAACAGATGAGGATGAGGAGTCCTCCTTGGGGGATGAAGAGGAAGAAGAGGAGGAGGAAGTTCTGGAAAGCTGCATGGTGGGTGTGGCTAGAGACTCAATGAAGAAGAAGGGAGAGCTCTCCCTGCAGCCAGAGGATGGGGTGTGGGCCCTGCGCCTCTCCTCTGTGGGTATCTGGGCCAACACCAACCCTGAGGCTGAGCTCTTCCTGGCGGTGCAGCCCCGGAGAGTGGGCATTGCCCTGGATTATGAAGGGGGCACCGTGACTTTCACCAATGCAGAGTCGCAAGAACTCATTTACACCTTTACTACCACATTCACCCAGCGCCTGGTCCCCTTCCTGTGGCTCAAGTGGCCTGGAACACGCCTCCTGTTGAGACCCTGAGCGCCCTGCCTGATGCCTCTCTCTGGCCTCCATTGCTTTTGGAATTCCAGGACTGAACGGGGTAGAGGGTGCCTGAATCAAGGGAGAGAAGGCACCCCAAGTCCTCTGCTGGTCCCCTCCCAGTGAGCGTGGTCCCTGAGACCTCACTCAGTGCTGCTGCTCCACCTACATTACCTTGGCCTGCTCTTCTAGGAGTCCTGTGCAAACTTCCATCCCTGAAGTCCACATGGGCTCCTCCCTTCCTCCTGCCCACTACCTTTGACCCAGCCCTGCATTCTCTTTGTTGAGTACAGGCCAGGCAGCATTTTCTTGCCCAGTGTAGCGTCCCATGTTAGATGTCCTTGGAAAAAATTAGTGGACTGTTCCACCCTAGCCATTTTGCTATCCCCAAATCCATAGCTTCCCTCTCACACAAATCCACTTTGCTACCATCCCTGGTACTTTACACAGAGCTGCCCCAGCTCAGTGAAACATGTGTGAATAGGGCTGATATGAATAGGTTGAAAATGAACTGAATGAAAACCTAGTGAGGCTTCCCTGGCACTTGAGTGAATCACCTGGAGTCCAGTGGAAGTCATCTTCTAGTGGTCCAAAGCAGAGGCTATGCTCTTCTGAGATTAGGACTATGTATGTGAAGTTCCAGGTCTGAGAAGGTGAGGCTCCTTGCAGCAGTCTGTGGTTTTGAGAATGTTCTAAAAATCTGTGGCTTTGGATGACAGTTATAATCAGTCCTTGTGAAGGGAGTTTTTTAAAGAATCCAGAATATCTTGTTCTTTTCAATCCATCTAAAAACATCAGGGCAGATACCCAGTCAAGCAAAGCCTCTCCTGCTTTGGAAGCTCTGATAATTTTCTCCAGTAGGGTCTCCAGACACTGGCCCTATCATTTTCCTAGTAGAAGGTCGGGGAAGGGCAAGACAGGCTGTGGGAGAGGAAAGGAAGGCAGCAAGAGTCCACGAGCCTGCCAGGTCATCATGTCAAGAGAATTAAAGTAAATCTGCCTACAGACCCAGCCCAAATACCAGCCTCTGTCCAGCCCCTAGTGTCCACAGGTTAACACACCTCCCTGCTCCTGCCAGACCACCTTGTAGCCACATCCCTGCCCTGCCTAAGGGACTGCTTCCAGCTGCTGTGGATCATCGCAGTGCTCCCATAGCCAGCATGCTGTGTATGTTACATGCTACCCAAGTCAAGAACATCTGACTTCTGTCTCTAATACTGTAAGCTCCTTGAGGTGGGTATCATATGTGGTATTTCTCTTGTGTTCTCCATGGCACTTAGTGCATTTCTGGGTGCAGAATAGGTGCTCAATAAAATCTTGTTGACAGCCTAGATTTATGTGTATTTTATTATGACTCAGTTATCACCAGGCCTTCTCGGTCTGTGATTACAGTGGATGCACTGACAGCAGTAGCCCAGGGCTTTTCTTCTGGGTCCTTCAGAACTCTCTGACTTTGCTTTCTGTCCTTCATACATGCTGCCATGGTTGAAAACCCCCAAAAAGCCCCATGTGGGACTTAGGCCAGCCAACGCCAAGGTCTGGCATTTGTCTGTGATGGGGCTCAGGTGGAAGGGTGCTATCTACCATAGCATTCCCCAAATCCTTTTTTGGGAAAGAAGCAGCACCCCAAAGGAAATATAGCCTAGAAATTCAATCTGTCTCCTGACACCACTGTCTGACCATTTCTTGTTGGTTCTAATTTTTTTGTTTTGTTGCCCCGTTAAAGATAAGAAAAGGGGTTACACAACATACGTACCTCTGAGATTCACTGCACAAGCAGCACACTTCTTCCCTGGACTCTCATTTATGATTCATTCATGTTTCACCTTCTTATTGTTTCTTTTCTAAATACATGTATGTAGAATATGTGTTAGTTATTAGAAATAACTAATATGCATTATCAATTATAATGCCCATTAATCCACATTTGAATACTGATAGATAGTAATCACTAGCATATTTTTTTATTGTTCAGTTACAGTTATCCCCATTTTTGAACCACAATTCTCCACCACCATACCCACCCCCACCACCTCCCACATTCAATCCTTTCCCCCATTATCAGTGTCCATGGGACTTGTATACATATTCCTTGACTTGACCCTGTCCCTTCTTTCTCCCATTATCCCCCTCACCTGTGCCCTCTGGTCACTGTCTGGTTGTTCTTTATTTCCATATCTCTGGTTATATTTTGCTCCCTTGTTTGTTTTGTTGATTAGGTTCCATTTATAGGTGAGATCATATGGTATTTGTGTTTCACTGCCTGACTTATTTCATTTAGCATAATGCTCTCCAGTTCCATCTATGCTGTCTCGAAGGGTAGGAGCTCCTTCTTTCTTTCTGCTGCATAGTATTCCATTGTGTAGACATACCACAGTTTTTTGATCCACTGATTTACTGATGGGCACTTAGGCTGTTTCCAGCACTTGGCTATTGTAAATAATCCTGCTGTGAACATGGGGGTGCATAGGTTCTTTTGGATTGGTGTTTCAGGATTCTTTCCTAAGAATCTTTCCTATAATTCCAGCAGTGGAATTGCCAGACCAAAAAGCAGTTCCATTTTTAGTTTTCTGAGGAAATTTCATACTGTTTTCCACAGTGGCTGTACCAGTCTGCATGCCCACCAACAGTATATTAGGGTTCTCTTTTCTCCACAACCTAACATTTGTTGTTTGTTGATTTGTTTATGATGGCCATTCTGACAGGTGTGAAGTGGTATCTCATTGCAGTTTTAATTTGCATCTCTGTGATGCTAGTGATGTTGAGCATCCTTTCTATATGTCTCTGGGCCTCTATATGTGCTCATTGGAGAGGTGTCTGTTCAAGTCCTTTGCCCATTTTTTAACTGGGTTGTTTGTTTTCCTGGAGTGGAGTCATGTGAGTTCTTTATATATTTTGGAGATCAAACACTGGTCAAAGGTATCACTGGCAAATATATTTTTCCATATGGTTGGTTTCCTTTTCATTTTGCTGATGTTTAGCCATGCAGAAGTTTTTTAATTCAGTGTAGGTCCATTTGTTTATTATGTCCTTTATATTCCTTGCCCTAGGGGGACATCAGTGAAAAAATTGCTCTCCGGAATATCTGAAATTTTCCTGTCTACGTTCTCCTCTAGGACTTTTATAGTGTTGTGACTTGTATTTAAGTTTTTTATCCATCTCAAGTTTATTTTTGTATATGGAGTAACTTGGTGGTTGAGTTTCAACTTTTTTTTTGTCTTACCTGTCCCAATTTCAAAACACCTTTGTTGAAGAGGCTAGTTTTACTCCATTTCATGCTTCTACCCATTTGTCAAGTATTAATTGACTGTATTGACATTCACTTATTTCTGGGCTCTCTATTTTGTTCCATTGATCTATGACCACTCTTATGCCAGTACCAGACTGTTGTAGTTACCATAGGCATGTAATATATTTTGATATTAGGTATTTTGATTCCTCCTATTTTGTTGTTCTTTCTTAAAATTGCTCAGACTACTTGGGGTCATTTATGCTTCCATATAAATTTTTGAAATATTTGTTCTATGAAATATGTCATTGGTATTTCAATAGGGATTGCACTGAATCTAAAAATTGCTTTTGGTAGTGTAGACATGTTGACGATGTTAATTCTTCCAGTACATGAACATGGTATATGCTCCCATTTATTTGTGTCTTTAATTTCTTTCTTCAGTGTTGTGTAGTTTTCTGAGTACAGGTCTTTTTACCTCCTTGGTTAGGTTTATTTCTAGGTACTTTATTTTTGTTGTTGCTATAGTAAATGAGATTCTTTTTCTAATTTCTGTTTCTGACATTTCATTTTGGTGTACAAAAATGCCTTGGATTTCTGAATATTGACTTTGTATCCTGCTGTTTTGCCCAATTCACTTATTAGGTCAAGTAGTTTTTTGGTAGAGTCTATAGGATTTTCTATGTGTGCTATCATGTCATCTGCAAACAGTGACAGTTTTCCTTTCTCCTTTCCAATTTGGATGCATTTTATTTCTCTCTTTTTTTTGTCTGGTCACTGTGGCTAGGTCTTCCAATATTATGTTGAATAGAACAGAGAGAGCGGATACCCTTGTCTTGTTCCTGATCTTAGTGGGAAAGCATTATTTTTTGCCCATTGGGTATGATGCTGGCTGTAGGTTTCTCATATATGGCCTTTATCATGTTGAGGAATGCTCCTTCTCCTCCTACTTTGCTGAAAGTTATACATGGTTCCTGTACCTTATCAAATGCTTTTTCTGCATCTGTTGATGTGATCATGTGATTTTTGTCTTTCCTTTTGTTTATGTGATGTATTATGTTTATCGATTTGCAAATATTGTACTACCCTTGAATCCCTGGAATGAATCTCACTTGATCAGGGTGTTTACTTTTCTTAATGTATTGTTGGATATGGTTTGCCAATATTTTGCTGAAGATTTTAATGTCTACGTTCATCAGTATTGGCCTGTAGTTTTCTTTCTTTGTTGTGTCTCTCTCTGGTTTTTGGATTAAGATGATGCTGGCCTCACACAAAGTGTTTGGAGTCTCCACTCTTCTTGGAGTTTTGGAATAGCCTGAGAAGAATAGTGTTTAGCTCTTTCTTAAATTTTTGTAAAATTCTCCTGTGAAACTGTCCCAACCAGGCCTTTTTTGTGCCAGTAGTGTTTTGATTATTGCTTCTATTTCACTGGGTGTTATTGGTTTGTTTAGGCTTTCTGCTTGTTCTTCATTCAGCTTTGGAAGATTATGTTTCTAGAAATTTGTCCATTTCACCTAGGTTTTCAAATTTCTTGGCGTACAGTTCTTCATAGTAATTTCTTCTAATCCTTTGTATTTCTGTGGTATCAATTGTAATTTCTCCTCTTTCATTTCTGATTTTGTTAATTTGGGTCCTCTCTCTTACCTTCTTGATGAGTCTGCTTAAAGGTTTGTCAATTTTGTTTATCTTTTCAAAGAACCAGCTCCTGGATTTATTGATCCTTTGAATTGTACTTTTAGTGTCTATGTTTTTAAATTCTGCTCTGATCTTGGTAATATCCATTCTTCTACTCACTCTGGGCTTTGTTTATTGTTGTTCCTGCAGTTCTTGTAGATGTAGGGTTAGGTTGTTTATTTGAAATGTTTCTATCTTTTTGAGGTAGGCTTGCATTGCAATGAATTTCCCTCTCAGGACTGCTTTGCTGTGTCCCATAGGTTTTGGTCTGTTGTGTGTTCATTTTCATTTGTTTCCAGAAATTTTTATATTTCTTCCTTGATCTCATTCTTAGCCCATTCATTGTTTAATAGCATGCTATTGAGTCTCCATGAGTTTGAATATTTTTTCCCTTGAGGTTGGTTTCTAATTTCAAGTCCTTATGGTCTGAGAAAATGTTTGATATCATTTCAATGTTCTTGAATTTGTTGAGGCATGTTTTGTGTCCTATCATGTGGTCTATCTTTGAAAATATTTCATGTGCAATTGAAAAGAATGTGTATTTTACTTCTTTGGGATGAAAGGTTCTGAATGTATCTGTTAAGTCGATTTGATCTAATGTGTCATTCAGTGCTGCAATATCCTTGTTTTTATTTTGTTTGGATCATCTATCCATTGCTGACAGTGGGGTGTTAAAAACCCTTAATGTAACTGTATTGCTGTCTATATCTTTTTTGAAGTCCTCCAAGATTTTCCTTATATGTTTGAGTGCTCCTATGTTGGGTGCATATATTTATAATGTTTATGTCTTCTTGAGGTATTCTTCCCTTGGGTATTATGAAGTGTCCTTCAATGTCTGTTTTTATGGTATTTGTCCTGAAGTCTATTTTGTCTGATATAAGTATTGCTACCTTGGTTTTTTTTCCTGTCCATTTGCTTGGAATTTTTCCCCCAGCCCCTCACTTTCAGTCTGTGTAGGTCTTCTGTTCTGAGGTCAGTCTTTGTAGGCAGTGTATGTATGGGTCATGTTTTTTATCCACCATCTACTCTATGTCTTTTGATTGGAGCATGTAATCTATTTACATTTAAGGTTATTATTGATGGGTAGTTATTCATTGCCATTTTCTCTTTTGTACCTGTATTCCTTTTCTCTCACTCTTTTTCTTCATCTCTTGAAGCAATCCCTGTAGCATGTCTTACAATGCTAGTTTGGTGTATTCTTTTAACCTTCTCTTATCTGGGAAACTCCTTATTTCACCTTCCATTTTAAATGAGAGCCTTGCTGGATAAACTAGTCTTAATTGCAAGCCTTTGGTTTTTATTACTTGGAAGTTTTCATGGCATTCTTTCTGACTTGTAGTGTTTCTATTGAAAAGTCAGCTGCTAGCCTTATCAAAGCTCCCTTGTATGTTACATCCTGTTATTCCCTTGCTGTTTTTAAGATTCTCT